CCTTGGCTTCTATAGGTTTTCACCCTCCCTCAAAACGTGATTATAGCTGACAAGTATGAGTTCATTTACGACAATTTTGCCAAAGGTATGTGCTTTCATTATAAATCCTGTCTCTGCCATAATACCTTTATAACTTTGGGCAAGTTATTTAACCCATGGGAGCTTTAGTTTCCTCATAAATTGAGAATAATAATAGCTACTTTATGGCTTGTAGTGAAGATTAGAGATATCAAATATAAAGCTCCTAGCACATTACTCAGTGCCTGGTATGCACTCAGTAAGTATTCATTCCCTGTTCTTCTACGAAGCCTTCCATCTACCTCCCAGACCTGAGAAGGTGACAAAGGCCTAATCCCAAGAGACTGTTCTGATGTTTCAAAGCTCTGAAATGACAAATGACTCAAGTGCTTATCTGAGTTGAGCAAATACAAGGTTTATAGTTATTGTTCTTGCAAGGACAGCAAGAGGTAATGACTAACAATTCTGGGAAGGTTTTATTTGTGTTAGGTGTTGGCAGCTCTAGGTGTATGTGCTAAAGGTGATATGGAGGCCCATTTCCTGGGGCATGTAGACTGGACGTGTTCCTCTTTCTCTTGTCATACATGAAACTGCTGTCAGCATGCTATCTACCCCATCCCATATCCCAAGAACAAACAGTAGTGGGATTGCTGGATCACATGGCAGTTCTACCTGTAGTTGTTTGAGGAAACTCCATACTGTTTTCTGTAATGACTGCACCAATTTACAGTCCTACCAACAGTGTAGGAAGGCTCCTCTTTCTCCACATCCTCACCAGCATTTGTTATTCTCTGTCTTTTTGATAATAGCCAGTCTAACTGGGGTGAGATGATAGATCAAAGTGGTTTTGACTTGCATTTCCTTGATGATTAGTGATGTTGAGCTTTTCTTCATGTACCAGTTGGCCATTCGTATGTTCTTCTTTGAGAAGAACGTCTATTTAATTGTCTATTAAAGTCGTTCGCCCATTTTTAATCAGATTATTTGGTTTTTTGGATTTTTTTTACTGTTAAGTTGTTTGATTTCCTTGTATATTCTGGATATTAATCCCTTGTTGAATGTATTGCTTGCAAATATTTTCTCCCATTCCGTAGCTTGTCTTTTCACTCTTTTGATTGCTACCATTGCTGTGCAAAAGCTTTTTAGTTTGATTTTATTTTAATAAAATACCAGAGAGTAAATATTTTAGGCTTTGTGGGCCATGTGGTCTACTGCTACAACTACCTAATTTTGCAGTTATAGCAAAAAGGAAGCCAGAGACAACTCATAAACAATTGAGCATGGCTATCTTTCCTCAAAATTTTATTTACGGACATTGAATTTTTAATTTCATGTAATTTCCACATCATGAAGTATTCATCTTTTGATTTTTTTTCAATGATTTAAAAATGTAAAAACCATTCCTTGCTTGTGGGTCACATAAAATAGGTAGCGGGGCAAATATGTCCCATAGGCCATAGTGTGTGCTTCTGATTTGTCCTTATTCATCTTTTTGCAACCTGTGCAAGTTATCTCCTGAGCTGAATATTAGAACAAATACATTTTGATGTTTAATTATCATAGTAGTTTTCTGTTGCTGCCATAACAAATTATCACAACTTAGAAGGTTAAAACAACAGTTCTCACAGTTCCGTAGCTGGGAAGTCTGGGTAGGCTTGGCTTGTTTCTTTGCTCCAGGTTCCACAAGGCTGAAATTAAGGTGTCAGCTGGTTGAGCTCTTATGAAGAGGCTTTAGGAAGAATCCACTCCCAAACTCATTCTTGCAGGCAGAATTCATTTTCTTGTGATTGTAGGAATGAGGTACCCATTTCCTTACTGGCTGTTACCTAAGAGCCAGCCTTAGCTCCTAGAGTTTTCTTTCCCCAGTTCACACCTGTGAACCCCTATGTCTCAGAGCCTTTTCAGCACATCAAGTCTTTCTCACATTTGCAATCTGACTCACCACTCTGCAGTGTCTTTTTTGACTTTCTCCTTCCTCTATTTTTAAGGGCTTGTGTGATTACTTTGGGCCCACATGGACAATCCAGGATAATCTTCATTATTTTAGATCATCTGGCTAGTAACCTATATCCATCTGCAAAGTCCAATCACATCAGTACCTGGATTAGTATTTGCTTGAATGGCCAAGGGACAGTAATCTTGAGGGGATATCTTTAGAATTTAGAATACCACAAGTACAAGCTAGATTTGTAACATAAGTAGTGATATATATGTCTATAGGTCACTTCAGTTGTATCCAGAAATAATTTAGCCCATTCAAGTTGTGTATTTTGTCAGAATCAAAATGATGTTACATGTGTTAAAAACCCTGACCAGTAGAGCCAGGGAAGGCTATGAAGGGAGGGTTCTCATGCATAAGTGCCTGATAATAAGAACTATCACAAAAGACTCTGTAAAAACCAAACCTTGCACAGAGGCCATCACAACCTTACACACATGCATGCACAAAATGCTTCTGGAGGTCATCTTCCCAGCAACTGCCTGTCCTAACTTGGGCTGGTGTCACCCTAGTTATTAATCCTTATAGCCAAAGATAATTATCTCCAAACAATTATGTAATTCTCTTCATTTTTTTCTTTAAAAACCTTTGTCTTCCTTTACCTCCCTGAATATGCACATAGTTAGCTATGACACACATATTCCCATTGTAATGCTCTTTACCAAATAAATTTTTTAAAGAGAGTCTCCCTGTCTGTTTGTTATTTGGTTAACAAACCTTTTGGTTATGGTAGGTTAGATCTTAGACATATTTTATAAGCATATTTTTATAGTTATGGAGGTAATCCAATAGTCTGTGCTTCTCATTAGGTGATATAGCCACTTGGAAGTAAATATGAGGTGTACATGCTATGGTCTTGCCTTTCAATGAATGCTTTTCTCCGAGATTAATACTTTCATATTTTTTTCCCAGTAGTGGAACTGTGTTTCAAATATAGCTTGCCTTTGTCTCTTACATTCAGCAGCAGGATTGCAGGTAATTGCTGGGGGAACAAGGTTGACATTTTTCTGGAGAGATTTTTATGTTTGGGATTTAACTGTTGACCTCTAAGTTCATTCAGTTGATGAATCTCATGGATATAATACTCTGGGGCTAGAAATCTCCATTTGATTGTCAGTTGCTTTTCCTCAGCCATTATATAAAACTTGTCACCAATTTTTGCTGATTCTCATCCTCAATGGCCCAAGTGTCTATATCTTTTCACCCCTCACTCCCATGATGACCTGATTTACATCTTCATCATTTCCTATCCTGTCTATTGCAATAACTTCTCAATTGGCTTGCTTCTGGTTTCTCCCTTCTCCATATATTTCTCCAGAGATTTTGTTGTCCAACCTGAACTTTAAAAAAACTGACAGAGTTCTCCATTGCCACCAGAACGATATTCCAGCTCCTTAGCATGGCATTCAAAGATTTATATTACATGACCCCAGTTCTACCTTTCAAACTCATTTTCCACTAAAATCCTCCACAAACCCTTTACCTATTTACCATTCTCAGAACATGCCCCAAGAGGTGTTGGGACAGGAGTACTCACGTAATTAGCTAAAACTATTTTTCATATTTAATTAGAAATATATTTAGACTACTGAATGACCTCCGTAGTTATTAATATCCTTGTTATAAACCTGAAAATGGATTTTATAGCAGCCCAGCTGGTATAGGTTGAGTTCCGAGTGTCCTAATTCATTTCATAAATACTTACTAATCACAGTGCTAAGTGCTGCTACTAGAAACGGTGAACAACACAATCACGGCTCCTGCCCTCATATCACTGATAGTAATGAGGGCTGTGAGGATATAAAAAGAAGGGTAATGTGTTAAAGTGATGGGGGAATAATTCAGTCATTCATTTAATAAAGTATCAATTAACAGAGCATAGTCTGTGAAAAAATCTTTCAGGGTACTAGGGGGGAAAAAGATGAATTAAACTGAGATCGGCTCTCAGGGAGCTTACAGTCCAGTGGATATGAGAGGGCCTGGGTAGAAATAACTCTAAAATAATGTGTAAAATGCTATGGATCATGGGAAAAATACAGACAAAGAAGAGGGTTATGGACCTTTCAGGAAGGAAGATGGGGGGTGGTATTTATTTCATGTAGCCATTGCAGGTGGCGCTTAAAAGATAGGTGTGACTATTCAAGGTTCCTTCTTTCCCATATTTAACATTCAGTTGATTGCAAAATCCAGGCAGACACTTCTACCACCTGCATTTGAATTTATCTCCTCTCTGTTAGTCTTGCCATTTCCCTAGCATGGGTCTTGTCATCTCTCTCCTGGACTTTTTTTTTTTTTTTAAAGATGACCAGTAAGGGGATCTTAACCCTTGACTTGGTGTTGTCAGCACCACACTCAGCCCGTGAGCGAACCGGCCATCCCTATATGGGATCCGAACCCGGGGCCTTGGTGTTATCAGCACCACACTCTCCCGAGTGAGCCACGGGCCAGCCCTCTCCTGGACTATTGCTATGGCCAACCTGTCTCTTTGTCCGTTTTTCTCTCCACTCTAACCCAGTGTTCATGTTACATCAGGAAAACTTTCTAAAACAGAGTCTGATCTGGTCACGACCCCTTTGTCATTCAGAACCTTCAGTTGTTCCCCATTGCTTACACTGAAGATTATTTACCCACTAATGCAGTGGTTAAGAACTTCAGCCTTAGGCCAAACTACTTGGGATGAGATCCTGGCTCTATCACTTACCAGGTGTGTGATGTGAAGCACATCGTTTTACTGCTCTAAGTCTGATTCCTCATCTATAAAATGGGGATAATAATGTTTACACAAGGTTGTTATGTGGATAAAAATATATGAAGTATGAAGAGCAATTAACACGTACCCAGCAGATAGTATATATTTGATTAATAGTGGCCATTATTATCACCATAAAATAATTCAGAGATTGAGATGAAGTATATAAATGGCTAATTAGGGGGGTTTGAGAGTTAATTGAATTTCAGTGCTCTCCCCTTTTCCCTTGAGTAGGCAGCTAAGGATTGTAACTGGTGAATGGTTTTTTGAAGAAAAAGCAAAGCGTTTCAAGCAAGTCAATGTTCTGGGAGCTGATGTTGTCCGACAATCCATCTTAAGAAGACGTCCAGGTAATTAAAGCAATTATTCTGTTTTGAAACTGTTTTAATCTTCATTTTGGCAGACTAAATAATTTCCCTATGTTATGTAGCAAACAAGCACAGTTGAATTTCCTGAATCCCTTAGGTCTTTTCATAACTTGGTGGCATGAAATCTAAATCTGCAGTTCACACAAGGGAAGAGTAAGTCAGTAGAAAATAAAATACATTGTGATTTTACATGTATCTGACACACCAAGATTTTCAAAGGAGCCACTTGTCTTCATCACAGACAGTTCTTTTCCTGAATGCACTTCCAATATTTTACTAAACATTTAAGAAAGTAACATAAAACAGATTAATTAAATGATTTACATTTTTCCACAAGATTTGTTTCAGATTTCTTTTAAATGGTACTTTTTCTGATCCAGTGGTTCTCAACCAAGTGTTGATATAGCTCACTGTGTTCCCCCTCCCCCAGAATGGAAACATTTGGAAGTGCAAGGGGACATTTCTGGTTGTCACTATAACTGGGGTGAGTCAATGGCATTTAGTGGTCAGGAACCAGGGATGCTAAATGGCCTGAAATGCATAGGACAGTCTCAGTCAGTGAAGAATTACACCGGCACCAAATGCAAATAATATCTCACCTTGAGAATGCTTCTCAGTGCATTTAAACTGCAATTTAATTGGTCAAATATTGAGTGAGACTTGGTGTTTGGGAGCATCTTTCCCATGTATAGTGTAGAATAGGAGAAGCAGGCACCTTTTGGTCTGTACCTAGGTTATCTCATCTTATAAACACAGGAGACCATTGCTCTTGTTTTTAAGTCTGGCAGATGGAGTTGGGAGCTTGGAACAGATTACAGCACTACTTCCAGGTATGGCACTAGCAAGGAAGGGCTTTCCCAGGTGATGTCAACATTAAGTCTGATGCCACAGGGAGACAGAGTGGAGTAGAGTCAGAAATAAGTAGTCAGCTGTGACCTCTTCCTCCACTCAAAGTTCAACACCTTCCAGAGTGTAGACTGTCTCCCAAGTCACAAGATATGTGCATAGGTGCCCACCCTCCCAGGAAGTCTGGCTTATGTGCTCAGAAATAGGGATATCATTTCTATAACTTCATGCTGGAACTCAGTGTGCAAGGATTTAGAGTTCTCAGGAACCCAGACTCCCTTGCCCTAAAAAATATTGGTAGAGGGATGACGTGTTCATTCCTCCATTGCAGTCATCCCTAGAAAGCTTGTCTCAGCAAATCTCCTACAGATCATTCCTGATCTTAGTCCTCAGTTAACTCTAGAACACTCAAATTAGAAATAACTGTGTGACTGGGAAACGTGGGGTGTGGAAGGGCATTGCCGGTTACCATAAACTTCTTTGTCATGTGTGAGTCTAGAAAAGTGAATGCAGAAAAGAAATTTATTCTCATTTGGGCCATTTAGCATGTAAATTTGTCTTCCATTGTTTTTTAATGAGGAGCTGAAGAAGTGCAAAGCCAAGAGCAAATCCTCCAGGATGCAGAAAAGTCAGACACTTCATCTTCCCCTGGGCAGAAGGCCGGCCTTGAAGGGCCCAAGAGAAAGGGGTAAGACACAGCCTTTCCAAGGACATTTTTGATCTTTATTCCAGACACCTCTGAAATAAAGACTCCTTAGTTTTTTAAGTCCGATGTTACTTCAGTGACCCAGAGGACGTCAGAGACTCAGCTGAGGTAACTCTTATTCTCCTCGGGAAATGCAGCTTTAATTACTTTCAATCCGAAATAAATAAAAGTCCTCTCTGACCTGAGCCTGTAAGAGTTTTCCTTTAATTTGATTTATCTGGCTGTACACCAAGTGGCTCACATTACTTATAGGTAGAAGGTTTCATGTCAGAGTCAGTCTTGTCTACAAAGAAGTGACGACTTTGTTGTAGAATGTCAGTACCCCTCCCCTTCAGCCTAAGTGCTGATATATAAAATATCCAAATCAAAGATTTATTACTTGAGCCCAAAACATTATATCCTCTGTTTAAAATTCAGACTCTCTTAAGAGAAAGTAAATCCCATTTGTCCACCTCAATAACTTGATTCAAAAAGTGAATATATGTGTCAAGTACTGAGAATAGGAGTGAGAGGTACATAGGGAGCATGGTGCAAGAAGGCCCTGGGAAACGGGGAACAAGATGGCTCTATCAAGGGAGAAAAACGTCCCCCAAAATTCAGGCTATAGGGACTAAAAGGCATATTGCTGCTTCACAGCCCTGCATTTTGCAGTTTTTGTTTCTCAGGCAGCTATAAGCCAGTTTTGTGGCCAAGATAGTGAGAGTTCTGATATGCACCATGTCACTTTATGGTCCTTCCCAGGTAGCATCTCTTTGTTCTTGCAGAGACCAGTGGGAGAGGCTGCTAATGTCTGAGCCTTCATCTGGCTCTACAAAAAGCCTAGGGTTCTTGTAGAGTCCTGAACTGAGAGTGGGAATGAAACCTAAATGTCATCTAACACTCATGACTAATGCTGTCTTCATTAATTAGCAGAGATGAATGGAAAAGATGGCGGAGAGTATCCTGTGCATTCTATTCTATGTATTGATCCTTCCTACCATGTTGAATCCATTTATCACACCTCAGGGCTCCCAAACACCTTGTGCCTATGCATCACTCATCACACTGAACTCTGACCGCCGCCCCCCCCCCCCCA